CTAAGAGTATATTTCAGGAACAACTAGGAAAACAGTTAGGCAGCCATGTACGTGATGCCCATCCCGAGGCAGCATGGAATGATATCCGAAAAGCTGTGGAAACAGCAGTGATATCTGCTAGTACGGTAAACTGTAAGGTTAGGGAGCAACACTGGATATCAGCAGCATCTATCGCACTGATAGATGCTCGAAAACTCATTCCACCTGACTCTGAACATAATGAAGAGCGCAGTCAGCGTAAGCGCAAGCTGACAAGAAGTCTACGCAATGATCGAGAACAGTGGTGGTTGGCGAAAGCAAGAGAGATGGAAAAGGCAGCAGCAATAGGTAATAGCAGACAATTGTTCAGACTTGTTAAGGAAACCGGTATTAAGAAACCGACTGTTAACGAAACATTCTCAGAGAAAGATGGACATATTATACATTCTCAATCCAGGAGACTGGACCGATGGGCAGAACACTTTAGGGATCAGTTCAACTGGCCTTCAGCCACACTTCGGTTTCCCACGATCTCCAGTCAACCTAAATGGCAAGTTAACGTAGGTCCTCCGACTCTTTACGAAGTTGAAAAAGCCATAGGAAATCTGAAGCGAGGGAGAGCAGCAGGCCCTGACAGGTTTACTCCTGAGATTTTTAAGGATGGTGGTCCAGCAATAACAGTGAGATTAACTGAGGTCTTAGGTAGAATTTGGGAACTGGACGTAATCCCATCTGGCTGGTCTCAATCACTGATTGTGCCAGTCTATAAGAAAGGACAAAAGTGCTCTTGTGACAATCACAGAGGGATCAGTTTGACTAATATAGTGTCTGAAATGTTAGCTTCAATAATACTCCGACGACTAACCAAAGCTCGTGAAGAACAGACTAGAGAAAATCAGGCTGGTTTTCGACCTGGACGTGGTTGTATAGACCATTTATTCACACTACGTCAGGTTCTAGAACACAGACACACATTCAGACGCCCCACAATCGCAGTATTTCTCGACCTTGAAGCGGCATTTGACTCTGTTGATCGTGAGGTTCCATGGCAGTGTTTTTCATTGAAAGGAGTAACAAAGAAGTACATTAACCTTATAAAGGCTCTCTACTCGAACGCAACTGGTCGAGTGAGAGCTTATGGCGAACTGTCATCAGATTTGGTTTCCTCAAGTGGTGTTCGTCAGGGCTGTCCACTCTCTCCATTCTTGTTTAACTTTGTCGTTGACGTGCTTTCAGAGATAACACTTTCCTCATCTAAATTTCCAGGGGTTGAACTTCTACCAGGAGGTTCACTTGTTGACTTAGAATATGCTGATGACATAGTTTTATTTGGCGAAGACGCTCACAAAATGCAGAGTCTTCTGACCACTCTAAGCAACAATGCAAGCATGTTCGGCATGCGATTCTCCCCCTCGAAATACAAAATGTTGCTTCAGGATTGGATTGCATCGACACCCGAACTAGTGATAGGGAGTGAAGTAGTTGAGCGTGTCGACCGCTTCACTTATCTTGGAAGTCTCATCAGCCCTTGTGGTCTGGTGTGTGACGAAATCTCAGCACGGATACAGAAGGCTCGACTAGCTTTTGCCAACTTGCGTCATTTATGGCGTAGCGAGATATCCGTCTATCAACCAAAGGACGGGTTTACTGCGCAGCAGTTCGTTCCGTCCTACTTTATGGCAGTGAAACGTGGCCGGTAAGAGTAGAGGATATCCGTAGGTTACTAGTATTTGATCATAGGTGTCTTCGAAATATTGCTCGTATATCCTGGGACCATCGAGTAAGTAATGCAGTTGTTAAGAAACGGGCACTAGGTAAGAATGGCAAATCCATTGATGAAGTAGTGAAACTTCATCAGTTGGGATGGCTGAGACATGTGTTACGTATACCCAACCATCGACTGCCCCGACGTTTGATGTTTCATGGTTTAGGGGAGTAGGTCGGAAGAAAGCTAGGGGCGACCAGACCAAAACATAGCACAAATCCATGAAGTCACTGACAAGTGAACTGAGCCATGTTGGTAGGTGTAGACTACCTGGTTGGGGACCGCGAGGTGATAGCAACCGATGGTTAGAGACCCTGAATGACATGGCTCAAAATCGTTTACAATGGCGCAGGTGCATACACCCTTTGTGTTCTCCCAAATTCTACTCTGAATTCTTTATGTCCCTTTTTTCCTCTTCCCAAATTTATTTCACTGGATCATACTCTTTAAATAACATCTCCAAACCGTAATGTTTCCGATAACTGCTTATACTCTTATTACCTCTACCACTACGGGATTTGAATCGACCACTGCATCTCTGTGCTAATGTGGTGTGGCAACTCGAACTGATGTACGTACGTACGAAGTTCTACGTTGTTACTGACTGACAGTATGATATGGGGAATCGTACATGTTCCAAATTGGCCGTAAAGGGATGTCCGGTTTATGTATCTTCGGCAGTCCGTATAACCTAGGTAAATGCGTACCTATCGGCCTAATTGTTTCGTATATGTCTGGTGGAATTATTTGTTGATTTCTGAGCTTTTTAAAGATCTGGTTAGTTCATTCTCTATCTTATTATTGATGTCATTTTGGTCATTCAGTTTGTGGAATTTTCGGTGATCATTCATCTTGCCAATGTAATCTTTTTTGTTATGTAAGACAGTTCCTGTTCCTTTATCAGGATTTGTGATAATCAGATTGTCGTTACTAATCAGTTCATTGATAACCTCCCTGTGTTTCTTAGTTAAAATACTTCTGCAGTTATATCTACTACTCTTCAACTGATAGCAACAGTCAAATAGGTTTGATTTGAAACGTCCAAGTTCAGAGGTCGGGACTAGATCTGATGTCTGACGATTTAGGTTTTCGAAATGGATGTCCGTATCGTGTATCACAGAATTTTAGACCAAGTGCTAAAACTTCAAATTTTTCTTTGTTTGATTCAGTACCAGAAAAATTATGCGCATACCTTTTTGGTTCAGTCGGAAATTTATTTTAAACCGGTTGATTTTCTAGGCTTTTGAGAAGTTGGATATGTTTCTTGTTTGATCTTTCCTTAGTTATTTTTGTGACGTACTCCGTTAACTGGGACTTAATTCATCAACTGCAAATTTTCTGCAAGCAATATTTACTTCTATCTCTGTCAAGTCATTATTCAACGTGTCAATTTTATTAAATGCATAACGTTTTAATGTTTTTCTATTCGGATGAACGCGATTACGGCGTAATGACTCACAGAACAGTTTCGGATAATGACATGATTCGATACAGTTTTTTATAAATTCCAATGATGTTTTCGTTTCTGTGAACTTGGCGTTATACTTCAGGAACTCATTGAGTGCCTTCAACGCAATGGGTTTATCACAAGATTTTAATCGCTGAAAAATTCCCATCATATTAAAACACAATTGTATGAATGAAGAATATTCTTTTCAATAATTTCTCATCGGGTTCTACAATTATAAATCCCAATTAATAATCCATAAAATTGGCCAGATTTAAGGCAGAGTACATCAAGAACTGTTCTTTGTTATATAAATCAAATCAAATCGTTAATGTTGGGGCTGTCTAATATCAAGTGTTAACTTGAATCAGTTTATAAGTGAAACAAAATAGTGCGATAAATGATCAGAATAAATATGGTCAACATGGGGTGAGAGAGAAAATAATGGAATAAAAATCGGAAATTACGTAATATGTAGAATAATATGAATTAGGTCGGATATAGTAGATTTAGGGATGGATACTGAATAAATTCCTCAAAAAGGTTATCAAGTGTAATGATGATAATAACAATGATGATAAAGATCATAATAACAATGATAAAGATAATAATAATAATAAGTTTGGGACATAAAATGAACATTAATCAAATTACGTGTAGGCGAAGGTAAACATAGCGACCATAGGTATTACAGTTCAACTGCTGCTGTGGAGCTAGTTACATAGACCGTACTCAGAGAGCTTTATCCTTGCGTGTTCGTGAACATGTACCAGCATGGATGGGAAAAGAAGTCACTAAATCGATCAACAGCATTATCCCTTCTCACTTTGAAGATAGTGAATATCAAGCTTTCTCTTTTATCTGAAGTTCCAAAATATCTACCTCAAGGAGCTAGATTACGGTTACTCTACGTAGCCGAAACCATCTGGATCAACTCCAGAAAACCAAACTTATGTATCCAGACAAGGTATATCCAGCCTCTATGTCTACTTTGGCCTACGACTGGATCACCGAATACCTAGATTGACTATTATAAAACTCTTACCCCCTTCCTTTTCTTCCTTATTATTATTTTTTGATTACCTCTATCTTAATCTTTACATCCATCATTCCCAATTCGTTTATCGTAATTACCTTGGTAACCTCCCCCCTTATTACATATTATATTCACACAACAATATTATTATTATTATTGTCATTATTATTATCTCAATTGACAAGATGAAATTCTCCTACTATGCATTTTATTTACACAATTGTTTTGTGTTTTCATTTTTGCTATAATACTATCCTAACGATTGTGACTGGACACTACTCCAATTCATTCTGACCTATATTAAAAGACCCTTCTAATTTGCAAATAACACAATTTTGAAGTATATATATGTCGAAACAGATGCAAACGTTTACCATATTTAACATATAACATTGTCAAATTTATTAATACAAGCCTTCGTAAAATATAATTATAGACTTATAACTATAGAGCCTGATGATGAAGTTATTGAAAACAATTGTTCGCTCAAATATTCTTCATTTTTGAATGTTTTATTGTTGTAAATGGTTTTTCTGGAGTTATAATTTGACCATCAGTAATGCATGACACCACCGTTTCGTTTGTAATGCCATATATCGTGATTATTCCGAATAGTGCGATATCCACTATACTAGTGATTATTATTCTGGCACCAGAAATTGAAGTATTTTTACACAGACTTTGTCACATTAACAGCGGATATTCTATTGGCTACTATAGACTATTCGACTTTGTTTACATTTTGCTTACTTCTGTCTCATATTTATTTTAAGGACGTCAACAATAATCAGCGTACAGTTGTTCAGTCATTCAGTCTTCGAAATCGTGCTGTTTTTCCCATTGGGTTTCTATCGAAAATTTTGGTTGTCAATAGTATGTCAGTTTCTGTAAGTTTATGATGAGTTATATTTATCAGTAAAACAAATTGATTCTCGTTATATTCGAGAAGTCTTAGGAATTTTAATATGTGAAATGAAACGTGACTCCCAAATATACTGTATACTCTAGGAAGCAATATCTGTCAACATTCTGAAGTAAATACAAACCCACTTAGTTTTACTTAAGGAGAAAACACTTGAAGGGTATTGATTTGTGGTATAGGGGAAGTAGCGGAATATATTCCTAAAACACTCATCGACGTTTCCTTTTTACGAGACTTCTTTTCATACGGTAGTGTCCTTATATGATTGAAAGCAACAGCTTCATATCATAATTATCGGTGGCCGTTAAAACTTATCCAAGCCACTAGTAACAATAAGCCTTTTATCAGAAGGGGTTTGTGGAGATTTTTAGAAACTTTCACAGATTGAAATCATGAGTCAGTTGAAGCTAGACCACCATTGAAAACCTGGAAGCACTGGACGACCGTTTCGTCCTAGTATGGGACTCTTCAGTAGTGCGCATCCACGATCCCGCGCCGTGCGGGGCTCGAACCCAGGACCTACTGGCTTCGCGCGCGAGCACTTAACCTTTAGACCACTGAGCCGGCATCCAACGGTGTTAATGTCTAACTTCAACCAATCCACGAAGTTGCGCCACCATATACCATTGTCTTCAGTGAGCTGATATCTCACAACAGACCTGGTTGTACTCCACTGGTAACGGCTTCCCACTAGAACTCCAGGAGTATCTCTTGAAGTCAGTCACTAGTGAGCAGATGATTATTATCAGAAGGGGTTTGTGGAGATTTTTAGAAATTTTCACAGATTTAAATCATGAGTCAGTTGAAGCTAGACATTAACACCGTTGGATGCCGGCTCAGTGGTCTAATGGTTAAGTGCTCGCGCGCGAAGCCAGTAGGTCCTGGGTTCGGGACCCGCGTGGTGCGGCATCGTGGATGCGCACTGCTGAGGAGTCCCGTGCTATGACGAAACAGCCGTCCAGTGCTTCCAGTCTTTCGATGGTGGTCTAGCTTCAACTGACTCGTGATTTCAATAAACCTTTTATCAGTGAAGCGATATCTAAAGTATGTGACACCCTAACTAGTAATCTCTTTGGATACCTTGAATCCTAGACGAGACATTCTGAGGAGGGTTTAATTATTTCTTGACTCTAATGACTTGGACTGTGTTGTACTCCTTGGTTGGTGGCCAATCAGTTCCTTCGATGGTACGGAAATCGAGAAAAAACTCTAGCTTTATGACTCGTCCAGTCTTCTGATTCTTCAATCTCATCATCGATGTGATCATAAAAATGACTTCAAAAGAAGTACTTGACGATTATCGTGTTGATGTTTTACGTGGAACAGTCATTTTGAATTCAGGTATACAGAGTAGATAGTGTTACTATGTATGACATAAGTGACATAAATCGGTTGAGATGGCTGAGACATGTGTTACGTATACCCAACCATCGACTGCCCCGACGTTTGATGTTTCATGGTTTAGGGGAGTAGGTCGGAAGAAAGCTAGGGGCGACCAGACCAAAACATAGCACAAATCCATGAAGTCACTGACAAGTGAACTGAGCCATGTTGGTAGGTGTAGACTACCTGGTTGGGGACCGCGAGGTGATAGCAACCGATGGTTAGAGACCCTGAATGACATGGCTCAAAATCGTTTACAATGGCGCAGGTGCATACACCCTTTGTGTTCTCCCAAATTCTACTCTGAATTCTTTATGTCCCTTTTTTCCTCTTCCCAAATTTATTTCACTGGATCATACTCTTTAAATAACATCTCCAAACCGTAATGTTTCCGATAACTGCTTATACTCTTATTACCTCTACCACTACGGGATTTGAATCGACCACTGCATCTCTGTGCTAATGTGGTATGGCAACTCGAACTGATGTACGTACGTACGAAGTTCTACGTTGTTACTGACTGACTGACTGACTGTCTACATACATCAAGTTGCCAAAGACATAGAGTTCATCGTTTGTGTGTGGGCTGTGATACTGCCCGGGTGCCCAAACCGAAGCAAAGTACTCCTACAAGACTGGCAGGATTCCAATCCTGTACTCACCCTGGATGGTGAACAGATAGACGTAGTCGAGAAGTTTGTGTATCTGGGTAGCTGTATAAGTGCTGGTGGGGGTGTGAGTGATGAGATCAATGCACGAATAGTGAAAGCCAGAGCGGCTTATGCCAATCTGGGCCATCTTTGGCGCCTTCGTGATGTTAGTCTGGCCGTAAAAGGTCGGATCTACAACGCGTCGGTGAGAGCAGTTTTGTTCTATGCTTGTGAAACCTGGCCTCTCCGAGTTGAGGACGTTAGACGACTCTCTGTGTTCGATCATCGCTGTCTCCGAAGGATTGCTGACATTCAGTGGCAACACCATGTCAGTAATGCAGAGGTTCGGCATCGTGTGTTCGGGCACAGAGATGATAAATCAATTGGTGTCACCATCTTGAAACACCGACTTCGGTGGCTTGGACATGTTCTACGAATGTCGTCCCAGAGAATTCCACGTCGTGCATTATTTGCCGACTCTGGGACTGGTTGGAAGAAGCGGAGAGGTGGTCAGTGCATGACATGGTGTCGTGGCATGAAAGAAAGCTGCAAAGGACTGGCGTGTGTTGGTTCTTCACGACTCCCTGGTTGGGGTCTGAGAGATGGTGCTACACAGTGGCTAGAGACGTTATCAGATATGGCTCAGAATAGAAGCCAGTGGCGATCCTGCTGTAACCTTCTTTTACTTTCTTCATAAACAGTGGTTGTGTCTCCCTTACCTGAAAGATTTCTTCCGATTGTACCTTTGCGTTCCCTGATTACTAGCACATTACCTTACACCAATCTCTTCGTTATTGTTCTCTTTTTTTTTGCTGCGCTCCTTAGCTTTTTTTTTTCTTTGTATTCCTCTCGAATTTTCATTGTTTTGTGTGGCGCATATATATTGGCGCTCTCTTGTACCAATATTCATCTGTCCAAATAAATAAATAAATAAACTACATACATCACATCTAATCACTTGAAACAGTGTCCTCAAATATATAATTTACTTCACACATCATCCTGTAGTACATTCTATTTCTTCGCTTGTGGATTGCACGATGCTTACTGATTCTTTATCCCACCAACTTATCAACTTGTACCGCATGACGTTTATTATTGGATCCTTAACTCCCTTGAATACTATTACTGAAACAATGATGGAATCGTTTTCTCAACTGAGGTAATCATAAATGGAGCAAGACTGCTTAACATTAGTTATTTTGAACTGATTTGGTACTTTGACTGAGAAATTTTCAATAGAGTTGACGAGTGTTTCGGATTGTTATTCAATACTGTTTTGGTTAGCCTTTATTACCATTAGTTCTACCTGATATTGCCAGGAATTTTGTCGCATGATAATTTTTAATTCTATCGAAGTATCCAACTGCTACGCTTGAAGCGATTACGATATCACCTGAATTTGGCGAACGGAACGAAGGGTCAGCAACACAACAACAAGACAAGCTAAACTATTCACTGCATCCCAGCTCTGTTAACTAGAGGGCGAAGACCAGATTCAGCCGAGTGAAAGGTATGTTCCACAAGCAGGCAGGAGCACAAACGAACAAGCACACAACTCAAGTGTATATATCCAGTATAAAAGTGTCCTTGGGAGACGTCGTAAAATAGCGTATTAAAAGAGGGAATGACCCAATTACGTTTCAGATCTTTCCAGGTGGGAAATACAAATGAAGGTAAAAGTGGGCACTTTTGACACGAAAATGAGAAATCCAAATTTTCAAAATAAATCATGAAAATAAGACGTCTACGAAGTGATTTCTGGGGACTTGCATCCGCAACATCAACTATACGACCGAGTTACGCTTGAAATCGAGGATCAAAACAATGAATGTCTATTATCAAATTGCGTTTCTCAAATCGTTAGTCATCTATGGTGAAGAACGCGTCTGTAAAGAGAATGACATCCGGTCGCTTTGTCTGAAGTCAATAATGACTATCAACAATGAAAACGGAGACTAAGAGTAAACAATTATGGCAGACTGCAGTGGAATGTCTTCGAGGTGATCCCGACGACGTATGGATTTCAGAAGACGGCACGAAGTGATGACTTCATTTTAATATTGTACAAATTGTAAGTATTTCGCCTCATAGTAAAGTAATAAGACCGGTCACTGAGTATCTAATACAGCGTATAAGGAAATGATGGTTTTGTAATGAACTCTTATTACGACCCAGTCACTCTTATTGCTTAATATTCTTGGACATTGTTTCACTGGACAAGTCCCCAAACCAGAACACATTTAAACAGGTATGCAATTATAATCCAAATAAACAAGGTCGAATGGAAGTAGGAATCACAATAAGGAAAACGTTGGTGTGTTTATAAATTTTACACAAGAATATTCGGCGAGACTATAATTTATAGGAGGACCGATCAGACATAAGATAACAGGTCTTGGATTTTGGCGCGAAATGCATTCATCCATTTGGCTAAGTAACGTTTTGGCATTTAAGCTGATGTCGGTTCGTGATGGAAACCTCAAATCTAATTCCTAACCGTAACCATCAACTGCAAATCATAATTCTAATTCCTCACACTGGTTTATAACCCTCACTTAGTCCTAGTTAGTAGGTGGGCATTTCCAAGGTCACTTCAATGTCGCTCAACGATCGTCCACAAATTATGACCTCACCGAATATTCTAGAGTATTCTTCTAAGTATCCGCTAGCGCCCGGAAATGGTCAGTCAGCGTGCCTCAACACAATCGTGCACAGAACATGCCTTAATCCAATCTGTATCCCATTAACAGGTTTTATAATGGAAACAAATTCAGACGAGTATTTGACCAGTACTTTTCTGAATTTATAAATTTTTCCTCTTGTTTTGTGTGACGAAAGCAGTTTGAAGCAAATTATTTCATTTTTACTGTTGTGTATAACACAGAGTGTTAAACTGCTTTTTTTTAATACTAAAAATTGAAGAATATGG